TACGAACTGTAATTGTTCATGGTCTGCCAGAAGAAGTAATACTCAGGAAAGCGGAGTCCCTCTCTTGCAGTCTCTAGTTTAAAACCGATAAATCACTTGCATATTTGTGTAGTGATTCAAATGGAGCTAAGACCTCTCCCATCCCAACATGTGGTAAATTGTAAAGTCAATGAATTGCAGATGTAGGGCTACAGTGAGCTTCCTCTAAGAAAATGCACAATGAATGGGTAAGAGTGATGCTATAAATATTTACTGAGAAGATAACTAGATTCCCCCGTGCTGGGCCAATTATGATGCACTAAGTATATTAGTAAAAATGCTTAAAAAATTGAGGGGATCCGTGTGGGTCTTTGGGTGGGTTTGTTTGTTTTAGAAAGTGGAATAAGAGGCACTGTGTTATTGTCATGTCAGTTTTATTGAGCCAGGGAATCGCTATGGCATACCCATGGAAGGACACATGAGATCCGCATTAATGCAAATTAATTCGTTATGAGTTGTAGCTCTGGGACTGCTAAGTGGAGTAACGATGGCGCATCGTTCTGAGGATGTTCTGTAGCAAGTGTTAATGAAAACTGCTGTGTTAAAGAACATGCCTCAGCACTTCAGCCCACGTGCCCCTGTGTGCTTCACTCCCAGATGAAGAACTTTAATTATGTTTTGATGTTTAAAGAACACCAGCTATCTATCTCTCCTCAAAAAGCCAGCCCAGAAAAGCCTACAGCTATCCACACCAAGCTCAACCCCAGCCTTTCTTAGCCAGGGATTGCAGCTCAAGTAGAAAAACAATGAAGGGAACATCCCCCAGTGGAGACGGAGAGAAAACTTTCTTGAAGCGATGGGCTCCCTCCCCCGTCTTCCTTGTAGAGGATTTTGGTCTCAGGCAATGTTGCAAGTCAATACTTCTTACCCCAAATGTGAGTAGGTGGATGTGTGTGGAAGCTGTAAAAGTTAACGATCCAGCTCTGACTCATAGCCCACGGTTTCAGGTTGGGGAGAGTGGGGGAGGGCGGGAGAGAAAGAAATTAATGAGGGTAAATAGACATGTGATGGGAGGAGGAGACTGGGAGAGCTTGCCCTGCTGTCTGAGGGCATGCCTTCTGTGGTGCTTTCCTGTGGTAGAGTACCAGAACTGAGGAGGCAATGCCTTTGTCAGACAGTGGTTTTAGGATCTTGCTAAGATTCCCTGCCTGAATCCACTAGACATCCCTGTTTGAGGCTAATTTGGTACTTTTTAAGCAGGCACTGTCAGGGGTGGTGGAAGTCACCCCAAGTCCTGGGCAAGAGCCTGCTTCCCATTGAATGAAAAAGGCTGTCCACACGAGACTGGGGTTGTGGTGGGGTGGGGTGTGTTTGTGGGGTGCACACATGATCTTTTGTTGGGGCCTCAGTGTCCCCAAAAGGATGTAGACCTAAGACAAAGTCTCAGACTAAACTACTAGAAAACATTTTGTTTCTAACGCGGGTGATGTGGCAATTAGGGTTCAAGTGAGAAAAAGACAGAAAACAGAACAAAAGCCCAAGAGAAGCCAAGCTGCTTAGGAAATGGGTCTGATCTATGTATGTGTGTGCACATGTGTGTGAGTGCACGTGTGTGTGTCTGTCTCTGTGTGTGTGTGTGTGTGTGTGTGTGTGCGCACTCGTGCAAACAGATAGCTATGAGGAAGCCAGGTGATTCTCGAAACTGAAAAGGAAGTCCACGCTCCACCTCATCCTTTAAGTGATGTGATCCTGTGTAGTAGTTACTCTTCTCCCCACTGAAGACTGCTGCTTTGTTTGTGGCTTGGAGCCTGAGATTCCTGTGGTTGACAAAGGCTGTTTCCTCTTCCATCCCTGGGTATCTCTGATCTTCAGTATCTGCAGCATCAAATTTAGAGTCAGTGGTAATGATTAGAAATAAAGCCAGAGGAATCAAGATAGGGTAATAAGGGAAGCAGTTAGTCGGGGAGTGTTGCAAGCATTTGCTTAAATCTGCCAACTCTTTCTGACTCTTCTGGACAGGTGGGGGCCTGGTTGCCTGGATGCTCTACTAGGGAGGGATGTTTGACTGCTGTGACCTAGGCAGGGAAGGTGTCATTTTGTGGGGCTTCCTAGGAGGGAAGAAATGGACCCCAGAGTCTGCTGGCTTCCTGGACTGAGACACGCCCACATAGGGAAGCTACACTGAGGGAATGAGGAAGGGGCCTTCCAGGTGACCTGTGCACAGTGGGTTAAACATGCGGCACCTACTTTTTAATCTCAAATAGGGCATAAACCATCCTGCCCTGGACCTCTGTCTTTGTGTACCCTTTCAAAACACAGAGGCCTAAGCATGTTTTGTTTTCTCCTTTCTTGTGGGGGTGGGAGGCAGAGGCTGGCAGCAAACAAGAGACCAGTTCAGTTTGGAGTGCCAGGTTCTTAGGGAGCATCTGTATTTTATCTTTAAGAAGCATGGCTGTAAACAAACAAGACCTCTTCATGTTTTATAGGGAAGGGGGTGGGGAGCCTGTGTTTCAGAAAAGCGTTTTTTTTGGGAAAAGAGAGGGTAGGAACCCCAAGGAGAATCAAGAACATTTGGTATTCTTTGCTGTTGCTGGAGGTAGCCCAGACTCCTAATTCTCTAGAACACAGTGGTTGGTAACTGGGAGAAATCTTAGATTCTGAGGGAGTCTTTTGCACAGGCTGGGGGTGTGAGCTGCTAAGAAGTTTTCTGTGTTTCTGGATACCCTAAGGAAGTTACATTGTTTGTAGGTATCGGGTGGTGTGAAGGTGAACCTATGCGCACATACTGTGCGGGCATACTGGTGCATGTTTCTCTGCTAGTGTCTTTAGAAACTTGTGTGTGTGTGTGTGTGTGTGTGTGTGTGTGTGTGTGTGTGTATTTTCACGATTTTAATTGCTGCATTCACTCCAGGCTTTTTGGTGCTTTATGGAGAGGTGATGAATGCAAGGATTAAGAATGGAGCTGGACAAGTGAAAATTGCATTTGGCATAGTCACAGTTTCATTAATTTATTCGTAAGAGGATGACTACATGAAATTATTTTCCAAGGCATATCCGAAGTTATCAGGTGTCCATTCAATTTTAATTGACAATATAAGATTCCTGTGGTTACCCTGAGTACAGATTGCCTGGGGCTCTGCAGGGTTTGTGGGAACAGAAGCTTGGACAAGTTTCCATTAAGCTCTGAATTGGGCAATTGGAAAGAAGGAGAATAAAACCCTTGAAAGGAAGGACTAAGTTGTTACAGTTGCCTGCTCTGCTGAGGAGAGAGGACCCTCCTCTCAGACAAGGGCTGTTCTCTCGCCAGGAATTCCAAACTCTCAAAGAGACCTGTCCCACACACAAAGTTGTTTTAACATGATGAAAAATTGTCTCAGTAATGAGTGAAATCCCAGCTTCACTGGGATGGGTGATGGGGTGGAGGTTGGGGGGGGGCAAGGATACAACTGCACCTTAATTTCAGCCCATCACTTTGGATGGGTTCCTTGAATGTGTGGGGACTGGGAACTGTGTGCATGGAGACTTCTGTCCATGGTAACTATGAAAGAAGTGGCTTATTGCTCTGCTTAGGAATGTATAGAGTATTGTTATTTTTGCCCACCTTTAGTTTGTCTTGTAGTTTTATTAGTATGTTTCGTTACATAAAACACACATGATTTTTAGGGGTTTTCCTTTGGACTGTTAGGAACCTCTTCAAGTCCCTTGTATCCTAAAAATGGGTGCTCACTAGCTTACAGTTTGAGTAATGTGGGTTTGGACTGTATTACTACAGTGGTACATTTTAGTTCAGAGTTTATGGGAACCTTTTTCCTTTTTAAAAGAGCAAACAGACCCACCCTGTTGAATGACTTTCTTCCCAGGGTACAAGGGAACAGATTGATTGGGCTTAAAACTCTGCTGCAGCTACAATGGTACCTGAAGCAAGAAGGGTTTGGTAACTTAGTCCAGAAGCACTCACGGTTATATTCTGTGGGGCTAAAGATGATGATGGAGATGTCATCTAAGAGTGTGGAAGAGGTTCCCTGACTTGTCTGCTGCAGGAGGGGTTAGGCAGGGATTCATTCCCCTTGGCCATCTGATGTTCCCTCATCTGTTTGAGTATGGTAGTGCAATTCAGATAACTGTTGAGACCCCCTCTGTGAATATTGAGTCATTTATAAAATGTCTCCACTCATGGTCCTTGTTTTTCCCAACGGGTAGCATCCTAACGTTAACGTGTGTCATTTGGGAGGAGGTGGGTCTGGGGAGGAGTCTTGGTGCTTTTGTAGGGGTATTCACTTCTACAACTGTGGCATGTGTATGGCTGCAGAGGGAAAGTTTGGGTTGATCTGTGGTCCTAGGAATGAGGCAGAGATTCACTGAGAGGTGGTTGGTCCTTTGCTTGGAACCTGGGGCTCCGGGGCAATGCTTGGCTCCCTTTGCGGGAAGTGTAGATTAGTAGAGTGCGGGTTGTGGAGATGTCTTAGGATCTAACGGCTTAGTCACGGCGAAAGAATGTATAAGGTGCCCCTGAATTCCGTGCAGACATTTGTTTTCCCAGAAATAGATTTGTGTCTGAGAGCCAGGGTTCAGTTGTTAGGGATACAGGGGTGGGGCTTGTACTTGCAGGCTAGTGGCTCCTCACAGCCCCCTCTCTGTCTTCACTCTTGCCTATGTGTTGCAAACTCTGTTAACTTTTGCAGCGCCTACCCCGTCTGCTCAGCACCCACTGGCTTCCTTCGTGTCTTCAGGGGTCTCATTCAGTCTCTGCTTTTTGTGTGATTGATGCTCATTCCTGCCCCTCCTCCCCCTTTCCGATTATTGAATGGGTGCTTAAAAAAAATAAAAAAAAATAAACAAAAGCAACAGTTAAGATTAGTGTGGCTGTCTTACCCATAATAATGAAAGCCCACAGGTTTTGACTGAATGCCACGGCTGCAGTTCAGTCTAGGGATGTTTGTCTGCTATTCATGAACTGCTTAAGATGTTTTCTTGTAGCTTGTGACATGAGCAGAACGCTTTGGTTTGGTTTCTTCCTACAGCTCCAATTTCAGTCCGGCAGTGCTCATTACTCTGCGTACAAAACGATTGAACACCAGATTGCAATTCAGGTAGGAGGCACGAGAGATTCTGAAGCTTGAATTACCAATGTGTAGGTCTCTTGTGTCTTTTTATTCTCTGCCTCCCCTATCCAGATGGTGATGATGGTGGTGATGATGATGATGGTGAGGATGGCCATGATAATGATGATGATGATGATGTCGCTGTGATGGTAGTGGTGGTGGTCGTGATGGTGATGGTGATGATGATGGTGATGATGATGTCGCTGTGATGGTGGTGGTGGTGGTGGTGGTTTGAATCATTGAGGGAGGTGTCTCTAAAATGATTTAAAGAAATGAAAAGATAAGTCTGCGTTGTTTAAGACCGTCTTGATCAGGCCCCATGCTGAAGGAAGGGCCTTGAGTTGGGAGAAAAACAGATTAGCCAGATGTGAACAGGAAGAAGTGATTGAGGTAGCTGGTGAGGAGGCCTTGAGACAGCCAGGGAGAGTTGTTTCCAGCGGCCCCAAGTCGTGGTAAACGGTGCTGAGGGCACCGCTTTTGACCTGACTGTCCCGAAATGTTGATTCCTCTTGGGCCTCTTGATAAATGACAGGAGAAGTGTTGGGAGGGAAAGGCGACAGATCCCAGCTCCTGATGAGTGTCTTGTTTCCTGCGCATGTAGAGCTTCCATTCTTTTAAATCCAAAGGCTAAACAAATCACAGACTAATATAGACGTGGGGCTGAACAGGAGCCAGCAGAGCAGCGGCGGAGTCAGGCAGACTAATGTGCTTTCGTTTGGCAGCCTGGCCTTGCTACGATGGATGTCTCATGGTGTCCCCACTGTACCCCACATCTCCAGTGTCCTAACCCTTGACAAGGAGGCCTTTGAGAGCTTTGCCTGTAGTGTGGAAAGTCTGGCTTAGGGTCTGCTAAGTTGATGTTGGCTTGGTGAATGACCTCCTTGTTGTCTCTTTAGAAGGAAGGAAGCCCTTGCAGGTTGTTGTGTGAGTGTGTTTGTGCATGTGTGTAAATGCCCATGTGTGCAAGTATACATGTTTGCATGCACATGGGTGTGTGAGGGCACACATAAATACATATATGTACGTGTGTGTGTGTGTGTACCTGCGTGGTCTAATGGAACTCCTGCCTTCCACCCACCACCATGACATTTCAAATCTGCTTCAGCCTCCATGTTACTCTGAAATAGCCCTCCCCCCCCAGGTGAATAGAAGTAACCCTCCAGTGAGAGGCATGAGTGAGCATGTCTCAAACATGTGATTGGCTCCCAGTCTTTTTGTATTTGTTTCAAGGCTATAATAGCGGGCTTGAAGATATTTGCGTTCCGTCTGTGCTTGGGCAGGTACGGATTCCCTGAGTGTTCTTCAGGAGAAAAGCATCTATCTCTTGACTTTTACCCTCCACACCCGGATATTTTCGAAACTGTGTGGCCAGCACGAAGCTCCAGTTTCCTGGCACACTTCCTGTTGGAAGCTGATTCCTTTTAAGGCCCAGCAAGTCTTGCTATTAGAAAACAGTTTAGACTCAGAGCTTGGTTAGAGAGCTCTGGGTGAATGGGTGGATGGATAAGCGCAGTATCCTCAGGCCTACTCCAGCACAAGAGGGCTGGAAAATCTTGTTGCCCCGGGTATGGGAATTGTTGAGGCTGAATAGGACAGTGATGCTTATCTTGGTGTGGAAAGGCTGGCTGGGGCCATGTCACTGGGAGACGAGCCCCAGCCCAGCCCAGCTGCTGAATCTTAACACCCTGCGCTGAAGTGTCCCTTGTTTGAAGGCGCAGTTCGTCTTTCTCCAAACCACCTGGCACGATGCGGGCCATGTGAAGCCCTTTCTCAGGAGGAAGATGGAGTAAATTACAGAGCTTATTGTTTGAAGGACTGAAACCATCCCTGTTCCTCCATGAACAGGTAGTATTGTTCTCCTCAGCTTCTATTTGCTGAGGCCTGATGCCCATGTGGGCAAACAGAGGGACATTTTATTGGAGCCCTAGCAGTATGCTTTCAAAAGTGTCCATTCTCCCTCAGTGTCTGCTCGACCAGCACAAGGCCAAGCCAAATGGCAGCTAGCTGTAGTTTTAGCGTGATCATCAAAGGATAAATGGGCAAAAACAAAACAAAAGAGGCAGAGGGAAAAAAAAAAAAAAGAGGCAAAGCTCAGACAGAATAAGATTGTTCTCTGAATTCCCTGGGCATTTCAGCCGCAGCCTGGGTGTGTGTGTGTGTGTGTGTGTGTGTGTGTGTGTGTGTGTGTATGTGTGTGTGTGTGTGTGCGCGTGCGCGGGTGTGGGAAATAGCAGTCTGGGGGAGGGGTCTCCTGTAGCACAGAAAAACAGACCTAGCCTTCTCTAATCCCATGCTTAAATCCAGCGTGATGTTGGGGCAGGCATTCTTCCCTGGAAACTTGTAACTGGCTGAACCTGAGCAAATACTGTATTCCGGGAGGAGCTGAACTTGCTGCTCTCTCCTAAGCCCCATCCTAAAATAACCTGGTACTATGACACCAGCATCACATGAGGTCCCCCCCCCCCCATCTGTCATCTCAGCGCTCAGCCAAGCTCACCATGGGTGTGAGAGGCCTGCGAACGACTATAGACACGTCACTTTGGCCCCTGGCATCAGTGACTGTGCTGGGACCTTCCCCACCCACGGTTGATCCCATCCAGCCCTCCTGGCTTCTAGAAAGACAAGGGCCGTGAGGATGTTTGAGAACACAGTATGATTGGACTAAAAATTAAAAGGGCATACGTATGCGCTGTATGGGTATTATTAGCAATGATAATAAATTGTTATTTATGTTGCTGTGTGTGTGCATGCGAGTGTGTTGGTGACAGAGCACAGAGCCTCCTGGATGCTAAGTGTGAGCTTGTTTCCTGAGCAGCATCCGGATCGTTGGCTTTTTAGAAGTGTCACTGAAACACAGCGCAGCCCACAAGGATGGACTTACAAATGTGAGAATGTCCAAGAGGCCTCACCCACATCAACGTGCAGATGGGGGCTTGTGTGTATTTTAAGCTTTTGAGGAAGTATTGAAAGCATCTTGAGATAGGCATTAAGGGAATAGCATGACTGTGTCCTGATAAAGCTTTATTTATAAATACAAGCATTGGCTGGATTTGGACCCTGGGCTGATGAAACAGTGTTGTGGTTTCCGGTCTTCCCAGCCTGAGACTAAAATCCCAGCAGTGGGTCATTCTTTTAGTTTTGTTGTTGGTTGGCTTCATATAAAGGGAACCGTACAGTATACATTGTTCTGTGTTGTTGGGTGCTTGGTTGTTCCAGGTTTATTTACCCTGTCCCAAATACAGGACTGGTGGTTGGGACGTCTTTTGAAGGAGTGATGGTGTCTGTGCATATTGCCCTACACTAGCAGAGGTACCTTGAGGTGGTGCTGAGGGGTGTGGATATTGCTTTGCATCAATGTGTTGTAGGTAGAAGCCTGCCCAGGGAATGTTGAGTGTCACCTTTGAAATAGATGACAATGAGCCGTGAGGAGACTTGAAGGGGGAGATGGGTAGTGATAAATGATCTACATATGATCACAGTCAGGCATCCCTGTGGCTTCCCCGGAGGGACCTTTTCCAAAATTCATCCTGGGGTCATTATTGCAGCCTCCAAGACAAGTTCTGTAGTCAAGAGCCTTTGCCTGGGTTCTCTGAAGGGCTACTTGAAAACCAATTAAGCTTTGTTTTAAGAGTGTTTTGGCCAAAGTTTGCTGTTTTAACACGAAGTCAGATGTGATTTAGGGGAAAAAGCACTACACCCAAGAAAAACAAACCATGTAGACCTTTCATGGTTGTTTTCCTTTGGAGACTTGAAGTGGTGTCTGTGTGTGCATGCGCACTCACATACGTGTGCATGCTTGCGGCCAAACACAGCTAGGAGAAGCTCCAGAAGAAATTGGTCTTTTTGTTTGCACAGCTGAGTGGCAGAGACTCCGCAGTGAGCTCGCTTTCCCTCTTGTTAACCTTGCAAGGTCTCGTGTGAGCTTTCCAAGGTGCTTGGTTTTATCGGGGACCCCAGGATCCCTTCCAGAGCTTGGGTGCTTCCTGAAGTCCAGAAGCAGTGATGGAAAGCTTGCCCACACTGTTGTGAAAGGGTGTCTTGTCCCATAGACTTGTGAGGTGTTGTGGCTGGAACTCCTCGTTCTGCCCGAATGATGGAGATGACTAGAGATTAGTATTAGATTTGTTCATAATGTAAGACCAAGGTGGCAACATGTATGAGGGCTCCTGGTTTCCCCCTAATTTGGGGTTCTGTTGATGGGGGTCCCCCCCCCCCCAGTGTTTCTCTGTAGATGTCCTGGAGCTCACTTTGTAGCCCAGGCTGGCTTCGAACTCACAAAGATCTGCCTGCCTCTGCCTCCCAAGTGCTGGGATTAAAGGCGTACGCCACCACTGCCCGGCCTCTAGTATGTTCTTAATCTGTTCTCTTTCCCACTGTATTTCAGATTGTATGGATGTGCAGGGTGTGGCTTAGTGGAAAAATCCCCCCAAAACGAGTCTGCTTGAGCTAAAAAAACAAAACGAAACAAAACATTATCATCACTTTAAATTTTCAGACAGTGTCTCCTGCAGCTCAGGCTGGCCTAGAATTCACTACTAATCTAAGCTGTCCTTGAGCTTCCGATGTCCCGAGGGCATACACACCAGGCTTGACCTGCAAGTCAGTGCTAGGTGTGAGCTCTTGCTGTAGACGTGCAAGCCTTCAAACACTTTCTACTGTAGATAAGAGTGCATGTGCACTTTCCATGAAGAACGGAGGAGACTGTGCTTGCATAGAAGTGAGCCGGCAGGCGTTATTCATATGAGAGTTTACTGAAGCTGGTGGGTGCCGGCTCCCTGACGCATTTAGGAGCTTCATTCACTGGAGAGTTTTTTGTGAGTAAAACGGAGAGAAACCCCTCGCTCTTCTCCACCTTCTGTGCTGTTTCAGACACTGTTAAAAATCTCTGTCTTTTCCGTTGATGCAGTGTGTTTTGGTGTATGTGTAGCTTTGGAGCTGGATCTTGGAATTTCACGCTAGTGACAATACCTTTACTTGCTGGGGCATTT